TTGTGCGTGTGCGAGTGTGTGTTTGTGCGTGTGTGTGTGTGTGTGTGTGTGTGTCGGGTGGAGGGTTGGGAGGACCTCCCCCACCAATCAATCAATCAATCAATCAATCAACCAATCAATTAATCAATCAATCGGTCAATCAATCAATCAATCAATCAATCAATTTTTTTTTTCTTTTTTTTTTTCCACATACCAACCCCCCCCTCGAAAATTATTTTTTTTAACCTTTTTTTTTCAAGGGGGTAGGGCGAGGGTTCCGAAACCCCAATTCGCAACCCCGACCGCCAACCCCCTCTCCCCTCGGCTGCTGTGGGCCGCGGCATTCCGCGATCGTCGCGGTCATGACCGCGGTCTCGTGGCCGTGGCCGCGGTCCGCGGTCGTGCCCGCGGTGACTGCAGCCGCTGGGGATTCATAGTCCAAAACCCCCTCCATCAAAAACTCCCCCACCCACCCCCTGACCCCGAGGCTCCACCCGGCGAATACCCCATTGCCTTCGCAAGCAAGAAGCTCCTTCCCGCGGAGATGAACTACCCCTCCAACGAGAAGGAACTCCTCGCTGTGATTCATGCCCTCAAAGTCTAGCGCACGTACCTCGACACAGGGAATACTTCACCATTCGCACCGACAACACCGTTGTCTCCTCTATCCTCACTAAGAAAGACATAATGCCACGCCAAGCCCGCTGGTTAGACTTTCTTGCCCAGTTCACATTTACCATTTGTCACACCCACGGCAAAAGCAACTGCGTTGTCGATGCCCTCTCTCGTCGCCCCGACCACAAGCCCCCTGAGAAAATCTACTCCACTCATATCCAACTCCTCCCATCACTCCACCACCGCTACATCTACGACCATCTCTCTTGCTCGGATTTCTGAACAATCTACAAACTCTATGACCTCGACCCAGTCCCTGACTACTCCCTTTACGACCAACCTCTTTACATCAACACCAAAGGCACTCGCCGACTTTGCATCCCCGACGCACATGCCGTTCGTACCGAGCTCTTGACTGAGCACCATGATGCCAAGACTGCGGGACACCTCGGGTTCCAGAAAACCTTCGACACCATCTCCCGCCACTTCTACCATCCTTCCCTACTCGCTGACGTCAAAGCTTACATTCGTTTATGCCCCACATGCCGAGTTGTCAACACTTCGAACCAGGCCCAACCGGGCAAGTTACAGTCGTTGCCTATTCCCACTCACCGTTGGTAGTCCATCTCTATGGACTTCGTGTGCAGTCTCCCCAAGACTGACCGCGGTCATGACTGCATTTATGTTATCGTTTGTCGCTTGACCGAACTCGCGCACTTCATCTCTTGCACTACTTTGCACAACGCCAAAGACGTCGCCACTCTCTTCTTTGATCATGTCGCACGTCATTACGGCCTCCCCAAGAATATCATCAGTGGTCGTGATCCACGCTTTCTTTCTCAATTGTGGAAACACCTTTTCAACGCATACAGAACCACGCTCAAGTATAGCACTGCATTCCGTTCCAGACTGATGGACAAAGCGAGAAGATGAACGGTACTCTCCGAAGAATCATGCGGAAGTATTGTCATCCACACCAACATGACTGAGATGAATTGCTCACAGCCGTCGAGATCGCCTATAACAACGTCGTCTGCCCTTCCACTAGCATGGCCCCGTTGTACCTCGACCTTGGCTACCATCCTCGCATGCCCTCCGACTTCTTGCTCCCTTCACAACTCAACCCCTCCACCCCCTGCCGTTCTCTTAATGAATGAGTAGCAACAATGAATAGACTCCTCAGAGAAGCTACTGAAGCCCTTGAACGAACACAAGAACAACAAGCCAACAAGACTAACAAACACAAACGTGACGTGTCATTCAAAAAAGGGGACAAAGTCTGACTCTCCGCCAAATGCTTTGAACGCGAACATGGCTTGTCCAAGAAACTCTCGAACAAGTGGATCGCACCCTTTCCCATCATTGAACAAACCTCTCTCGTCAACTACAAACTCCAACTCCCCCCTGACATGAGTCGTGTCCACCCTGTCTTCCACATAGAATACCTAAAAAAATACCATGAATCCCTACCGAAATTCGTTGACCGCCCATATCCTAGACCTCCACCAATCATGTTACCCACATGCCCTGAATTTGGCATCATAGGACGAATAACTACTCAGGTATCTGAGCACCCTGAAGCAATCACAAAATACAAAGTTAAATGGACAGGATACCCTAACGAAGAATCCACATGGGAACCTCTTGCTAACCTTAAGAATGCACTGAAACGTATTCGCGCCTATGATCGCGCCCATCCTATATCCTAGCTACCCACCATGCCTAAACCCTGCCTAAGCCCCTCCTAAACCCTGCCTCAAACCTGCATCCATGCGCTACACACATCCCGTGTACCCAACTAAAACCTTGCCCCTTGACCTCCCCCTGTGTGATCCGTTCTTGCCTCCGTCTCATCCCATTCTCCCATCTATCCTCTGCCACATTTTTGTCCCTCTTGTCTAAGCCCTACATGTGGCCCCTGCGCGTCGCCGACGATAAGGGATCTACTGGCTAGCGCACAAGCACAATGGCATGATGCAGCTCTGTACGAGGAGATAAGACAGCTGGTTGGCCACCATGCCGTTCCCTTTGGCCGACATCTTGGACTCGCAGACTTCTAGAGCAACACCTTTTACATGGACATCAAGATCAGTCTGCGACCTACTATCCGGATCAGACCTCATGACCAAATCGTGTATCAGACGCAACCTGCTACTGGGATAATTAAGCTGAAGTCATTGCCGTCTACATCACAAAACTGTTGAAGATTGCTTCCTTGCCGCCACTTTTGTGACACCCGCCAAGACCTTCCTCAAGACATGTTTTTCGCTTTTGACACTTCGTTACAGACCTGAGATGTTGTTTTCCCAGACCCCTCAAACACCCGAACACTTAAGCATTGAACAAACAATTTTTATTTTTTTTCTCAAACCTGACAACCTATAACCTTGTAGAACATTAACAGGACTGCCTTGTTACTTGTAGAACCTTAATAGGATTACCTTGTTACTTGAGCATTGATTCCCTCATCCCTGTAGAAGCTCCATAGGATTACCGTGGTACTTGCATTACTCCCCCTTTCCTTTTCTGACCAGTGATCGGCCCCGTCCCATCCTTCACAGTTGTTCATTGGGTCTTTGGCAGTCGGGACGCTGCCTTCCAGAGGGAGCGGATGTTTACAGACTCAGCCAGAGCTCGATCCCTGTTCCACGGGTTACCACCCACTAGGCTGCTATTTTATTTTGAGTCTCCGATCTCCGGTTCCTAACTGTTGGCGCCCTCTGTAGTTGGCGTCCATTCTCAAATCCCTCCTCTGGCACTTTCAGATTTCGATACTTGGCGCCATCCTGCATTCTGGCGCCTAGACTCGTACCTTCGATTTTCAGTTCAGCCCTGAGGCGAATTGCACTTCTGCCCTCGAGACTCAACTTGAGTCTGGTACTTAAGACCAGACTCAAGCTGAGTTCGGACATTCAGTTTCCAGCCTCAGTGTTTGTGCTTCAGTGTGACTTGCTACGACATTGTGTTCGGAACCCAAGATTGCGACTTTGCGACTTTGCCACTTTGTGTCTATGTGTGTCGAGTCTTGTTGATTCTACATCGAGTTGAGTGAGCGTGTGTGTGTTCTCTCACTCTCCTCTCTCTCCTAGCCTCACTGCTTTGCCTCAACCCCGTCAAAGCGAAGAGGGCATTGAGGGGGGAGCGCTCGCCACAACAACCGAAGGAAAGGCAACTGGTCAACGTAAGGGTAGCCAGTAAAAGAGCCAGGGCAATGCTCAGGTCTTGCTCAATGCACCTGTAGGGGTGAAAGTTGGACTTCTTCAAGACATGTGGAAGGATCGTTACTCCCGTAGAGATTGCATAAGCTGCGGCCAATATGGCATACATAGCATAAGTGCAAGAACGTGAAAGTCTCTCAGAAGATCCCACACACGGTGAGTGCTCGCGGATCTTTCTCTCAAGGAGGTGCTCTGCGAGCAACTCCTAGGGAAACATATCGGGCCAGTAGAGGTTATAGTTGCCGCTACTCGAGCTGGAGTGAAGGATGTTCCCTCACCAATTCAGGAGATGGCGGACATTATTGATTGAATTATAACACCAAATTTGCATAAAACCATTGGGCATTACTATTGCAGTACATATTTTTACAGTCCCATGTATAACACTGCATGTTCACCACCCTTCTGCCCTAGCTTGAGCAATTAAAGCTCATTGCAGAAACGCAACATCACAAGAAAAGAGTAGAAATAGAGACAGTGTTCCGGAGTACCAGGACTTCTCCACTCGGCTTCGCATGTAAGTTGTCAACCCCTTATTGTATCAGGGGTAGTCCCGCCCCTCTTGCGTTTCCTTGTGCAGGCGTAATCTAACTTCCTCATTCATCGTGATGGCGCCACACTTCTTCAGCTCGTGGATCGCTTGTGAGTTTACTTTCTTCACGATCAATTAACCACCCTATACATGAAGCAACACAAATTGGAAGAAAAGACACCTAGATAAAGTATAACCAAGTGAAAGCACATGAGAAAAAAGCCCACGACACTACCGGATCATTCCCAGGCTCGAGTGCAAGGTCGATCAACTGGCTCGTCGTGAATGATAACATAAAATTTGCATAAAATCACTGGGCATTGCTATCATAGTACATATTTTTACGCTTCCACGCATAACATCGTGTGCTCACCACCCTTTTGCCCTAGCTTGAGCAACTGAGGCTTATTGCAGTAGCACAACATCATAGGAAGAGAGCACAAGATCAAGATAGTGTTCCACAATACGAGGGTTTCTCCACTAGCGTTCGCATATAAGCTTCCATCCCTAATTCATCTTGTTCCTCCGATTCTTCTTCCTGAGTGGCCTCAGCGCCGCCCCTGTTGTTCCGATCTGGGCGATGTGCCAAGGGTAGTCCCACCCCTCTTGCACTTCTTGGTGCAGGTGTAATCTGACTTACTCATTCATCCTGATGGCGCCAGACTTCTTCAGCTAGTGGATCACTTGTTAGTTTACTTCCTTCACAATCAATAAACCACCCGTTACATGAAGCAAGATAAATTGGAAGAAAAGACAGTGAGATGAAGTATAACCAAGTGAAAGCGCATGAGCAAAAAGCCCACGGCACTAGGGGATTGTTCCTAGGCTCAAGTGCAAAGCCGATCAGCTAGCTCATCGTAAGTGATAACACAAAATTTGAATAAAACCATTAGGCGTTACTATCGCAGTACATTATTTTACGCTCCTTCACATAACACTGCGTGCGCACCGCACTTCTGCCCTAGCTTGAGCAAGTCAAGCTCATTGTGGTAGCGCAACATCAAAGGAAAAAAACACAGGGTCGAGACAGTGTTCCAGCGTACGAGGACTTCCCACTTGCCCTCGCATGTAAGATGCCACACCTAATTTATTTTGTTTCTCCTCTAAATCCTCTTCCCCATTGGCCTCAGGGGCTCTCCCATTGTTTCGATCTGGGCAATGTGCGAGGAGTAATCCTGCCCCTCTTGCGTTTCCGGGTGCAGGCGTAGTATGGCTTTCTCATTCATACCAATGGAGCCACACTCCTTCAGGTGGTGGATCGCTTGTGAGTTTACTTCCTTTATGGTCAATAAACCACCCAGTACGTGAAGCAAGATAAATTTGAAGAAAACACAACGTGATAAAGTATAACCACGTAAAAAAGCATGAGCAAAAAGCCCATGACACTAGCGGCTCATTCCCAGGCTCAAGTGCAAGGTCGATCATCTAGCTACTCGTGAATGATAACACAAAATGACCATAAAACCATTGGGCGTTACTATCCCAGTACATGATTTTACGCTCCAAAGCATAACAAAGTGTGCTCACCATACTTCTGCCCTAGCTTGAGCAAGTCAGGCTCATTGCGGTCGCGCAACAACACAGGAAAAGAGCACAGGATCGAGATGTGTTCCAGAGTACGACGACTTCTCCACTCGGCTTCCCATGTAAGCTGCCAAGTTATGCCAACCGTTATTTATCTTGTTCCTCCTCTGATTTTTTTTCCCAGTAGCCTCAACGCCTTCCCCGTTGTTCCGATCTGGGCAATGTGCCAGGGGTAGTCCCGCCGCTCTTGCGTTTCCTGGTGCGGGCGTAGGCTGAGTTCCTTATTCATTCCGATGGCGCAACACTTCTTCAGCTCATGGATCGCTTGTGAGTTTACTTCCTTCATGGTCGATAAACAACCCGATACATGAAGCAAGATAAATTGGAAGAAAAGACAGCGAGATAAAGTATAACCAAGTGAAAGCGCATGAGCAAAAAGCCAATGGCACTAGCAAATCGTTCCCAGGCTCAAGTGCAAGGTCGATCAGTTCGGTCATCATGAATGATAACACAAAATTTGCATAAAACCTTTGGGCGTTACTATCGCAGTACATGATTTTACGCTCCACGCATAACACCATGTGCTCACCACCCTTCTCCCCTGGCTTGAGCAAGTCCGGCTCACCGCGGTAAAATGACGGGAAAAAAACACAGGATCGGACAGTGTTCCGGAGCACGAGGACTTCTTCACTCGGGTTTGCATTTAAGTTGCCGACCCTAATTCAAATTCTTCCACACTAACCTCAACGCCTCCCCCATTGTAACGATCTGGGTGAAGTGTCTGGGGTAGTCCCGCCCGTCTTGCGTTTCCTGGTGCAATTGTAGTCTGACTTCCTCATTCATCTCGATGGCGCCACACTTCTTCAGTTGATGGATTGCCTGTGCGTTTACTTCCTTGAAGGTCGATAAACCACCAGGTACAAGAGGCAAGATAAATTGGAAGAAAAGACAACGAGTTTAAGTATAACCATGTAAAAGCGCATGGGCAAACCGCCCACGGCACTAGCGGATCATTCCAAGACTCTAGAGCAAGTTCAATCAGCTAGCTCGTCGTAAATGATAACACAAAAGTTGCATAAAATTATTGGGCGTTACTATCGCAATACATATTATTACGCTTCCACGGATAATATCGTGTGCTCACCACCCTTCTGCCCTAGCTTGAGCAACTCAGGCTCCTTGCGGTAGCGCAACGTTACAGGAAAACAGCACAAAATTGAGACATTGTTCTGGAGTATAAGGACTTCTCCACTCGGTTGCGCATGTAAGTTGCCGGCCCTAATTCATCGTGTTCCTCCTCTGATTCTTCTTCCACACCGACCTCGGCGCCTGCCCTGTTGTTTCCATCTTGGAAATATGTCAGGGGTTGTACTGCCCCTCTTGCGTTTCCTGGTGCGGGCGTAGTCTGACTTCCTCCCTCATCCCGATGGAGCCACACTCCCTTATTTGGTGGATCGCCTATGAGTTTACTTCCTTCATGGTCGATAAACCACCCAGTACGTAAAGCAAGATAAATTGGAAGAAAAGACAGCAAGATAAAGTATAACCAAGTGAAAGCGCATGAGCAAAAAGCCTACGGCACTAGCGGATCGTTCCCAGGCTCAAGTGCAAGGTCGATCAGCTAGCTCGTCGTAAATGATAACACAGAATTAGCATAAAACCATTGGGCCTTACAATCGCAGTGCATGATTTTACACTCCTGATCATAAGACCGCGTGCTCACCGCACTTCTGCCCTAGCTTGGGCAAGTAAGGCTCATTGCGGTAGCGCAACGTCACAGGCAAAGAGCACTAGATCGAGACAGTGTTCCGACGTACGGCGACTTCTCCACTCGACTTTGCATGTAAGTTGCCAGCCCTAATTCATCTTGTTCCTCCTCTAATTCTTCTTCCCCACTGGCCTCAACACCTTCCCCGTTGTTCCGATCTGGGCGATGTGCCAGGGGTAGCCCCGCCCCTCTTGTGTTTCTTGGTGCAAGTGTACACTGACTTCCTCATACATCCCGATGGCGCAACACTAGTTGAGCTAGTGGATCGCTTGGGAGTTTACTTCGTTCATGGTCGATAAACCACCCGGTACATGAAGCAAAATAAATTGGAAGAAAAGACATTGAGTTTAAGTATAACCAAGTGAAAGCGCATGAGCAAAAAGCCAACGACTCTAGCGGATCGTTCCCACTCTTACGTGCAAGGTCGATCACCTAACTTGTCGTGAATGATAACACAAATTTTGCATAAAACCATTGGGCGTAACTATGCCAGTACATATTTTTATGCTCCCACACATAACACCCCGTGCTCAACACCCTTCTGCTCTAGCTTAAGCAAGTCAGGCTCATTCTAGTAGCGCAACATGACAGGAAACGAGCACAAGACAGTGTTCTGAAGTACGAGGAATTCTCCACTCGGCTTCGCATGTAAGCTGCCAGCCCAAATTCATCTTGTTCCTCCTCTGATTCTTCTTCCCCACTGGCCTCAACGCCTCCCCCATTGTTCCGGTCCAGCCCTTCTTGCAATTCGAGGTGTCGTTGTATTCTAACTTCCTCATTCATCCCGATGGCGCCACACTTCTTCAGCCGGTGGATCGCTTGTGAGTTTACTTCCTTCATGGTCGATAAACCACCTGGTACATGAAGCAAGATAAATTGGAAGAAAAGACAGCAAGATAAAGTATAACCAAGTGAAAGCAGATAAGCAAAAACTCACGGCATTAGCGGATCGTTCCCAGGATTAAGTGCAAGGTCGATCAGGTAGCTCGTCATGAATGATAATACAAAATTTGCATGAAACCATTAGGCGTTACTATCACAATACATGATTGTACACTCCCGTACATAACACCACGTGCTCACTACACTTCTGCCTTAGCCTAAGCAAGTCAGGCTCATTGTGGTAGCGCAACATCACAGGAAAAGAGCTCAAAATCGAGACATTGTTCCGGGGTATAAGGACTTTTCCACTCGGCCACGCATGTAAGATGCCATCCCTAATTCATCTTGTTCCTCCTTTGATTCCTCTTCCCCAATAGCCCCATCGCCTCCCCCTTTGTTCCGATTTGCGTAATGTCCCCTGGGCACTCCTGCCCCTATTACGTTTCCTGGTGCAGGTGCAGTCTGACTTCCTCATTCATCCCGATGGAGCCACACTCCTTTAAGTGGTGGATGTCAAGTGAGTTTAGTTCCTTCATAGTCGATAAACCACCCGTTACATGAAGCAAGATAAATTGGCAAAAAAGACAGCGATATAAAGTATAACTAAATGAAAGGACGGTGTGCAAGGACGATCATCTATCTCGTTGTGAATGATAACACAAATTTGCAGAAAATCATTGGGCGTTACTATCGCAGTACATGATTTGACTGTCCCACACATAACACCACGTGCTCACCATCCTTGTGCCCTAGCTTAAGCAACTCAGGTTCATTGCGGTAGCGCAACATCATGGGAAAGAGCACGAGATCGAGACAGTGTCCCAGAGCACGCGGACCTCTCCACTCGGCATCGCATGTAAGCTGCCAACCCTAATTCATCTTGTTCCTCCTCTGATTCTTCTTCTCGGCTCCCCTCATCGCCTCCCCCCTTATTCCAATCTAGGCGATGAGCCAGGGGTAGTCCAACCCCTCTTGCGTTTCCTGGTGCATGCGTTGTCTAACTTCCTCATTCATCTCGAGGGCGCCACACATCTTCAGTTGGTGGATCGCCCTTGAGTTTACTTCCTTCATGGTCGATAAATTATGCAGTACATGAAGCAAGATAAATTGGAAGAAATGACGACGAGATAAAGTATAACTAAGTGAAAGCGCATGAGCAAGAAGCCCATGGCACTAGCGGATCTCTCTCAGGTTCAAGTGCAAGGTCGATCAGTTAGCTAGTCATGAATGATAATACAAACTTCCTTCTGCACTAGCTTGAGCAAGTGAGGCTCATTGCGGTAGCACAAGATTACAGGAATAGAGCACAAATTTGAGACAGTGTTCCGAAGTACGACAACTGCTCCACTCAGGTTCGCATGTAAGTTGTGAACCCTTACTAATTATCTTGTTTCTCCTTTGATTCTTCCTTCCCATTAGTCTCAACGCATTTCCCGTTGTTTTGATCTGGGTGATGTTTAAGGGGTAGTCCCACCCCTCTTGCGTTCCCTGGTGCAGGTGTAGGTTGACCTCCCCATCCATCCCGATGGCGTCACACTTCTTCAGCTGGTGGATCGCTTGTGATTTTATTTCCGTCGAGGCCGATAAACCACTCGGTACATGAACCAAGATACATTGGAAGAACGGACAGCGAGATAAAGTATAACCAAGTGAAAGCGCATAAGCAAAAAAACAACGGCAGTAGCAGATCGTTCCCATGCTTGAGTGGAAGGTCGATCAGCTAGCTCGCCGTGAATGATAGCACAAAATTTGCATGAAACCATTAGGTGTTACTATCGCTGTGCATGATTTTACACTCCCTCACATAACACCACGTGCTCACCACACTTCTGCACTAGCTTAAGCAAGTCGGGCTCATTGTGGTAGTGCAACATCATAGGCAAAGAGCACAAGATTGGGACATTGTTCTGGGGTATGGGAACTTCTCCACCCGGCCTCATATGCAAGATGCCATCCCTAATTCATCTTGTTCCTTCTTTGATACCTCTTCCCCACTAGCCTCAGCGCCTCCCCCGTTGTTCCGATCTGGGCAATGTGCGATGGGCAGTCCTGCCCCTCTTGCGTTTCCTGGTGCAGGCGCAGTCTGACTTCCCCATTCATCCCGATGGAGCCACACTCTTTCAGCTGGTGGTTGTCATGTGAGTTCACTTCCTTCATGGTCGATAAACCACCCGTTACATAAAGCAAGATAAATTGGAAAAAAAGACAGCGATATAACGTATAACCAAGTGAAAGCGCATGACACTAGCGGATCGTTCCAACGCTCAAATGCAAGGTCGATCATGTAGCTTTCCGTGAATGGTAACACAAATCTGCAGAAAACCATTGGGCGTTATTATCACAGTGCATGATTTTACGGTCCCACGCATAACACCTTGTGCTCACTATCCTTGTGCCCTAGCTTAAGCAAGTCAGGCTCATTGTGGTAGGGCAACATCATGGGAGAAGAGCATAAGATCGAGACAATGCTACCGAGTAGAAGGACCTCTCCACTCGGCTTCCCATGTAAACTGCCACCCCTAATTCATCTTGTTCCTCCTCGATTTCTTCTTCCCGAAAGGCCTCATCACCTCCCCCCTTATTCCAATCTAGGCGATATGCTAGGGGTAGTCTAGCCCCTCTTGCGTTTCTTGGTGCACATGTAGTCTAACTTCCTCATTTATCCCGATGGCGCCACACTTCTTCATGTGGTGGATCACCTCTAAGTTTACTTCCTTCATGGTCGATAAACCATGCAGTACATGACGAAAGACAAATTGGAAGAAATGACGGCGAGATAAAGTATAACCAAGTGAAAGCTCATGAGCAAAATGCCCACAACACTAGCGGATCTTTCTCAGGCCCAAGTGCAAGGTCGATCAGCTAGCTAGTCGTGAATGATAACACAAATTTCTTTCTGTCCTAGCTTGAGCAAGTCAGGCTCATTGCGGTAGCACAACATTACAGGAATAGAGCACAAATTTGAGACAGTGTTCCGGAGAACGATGACTTCTCCACTTAGGTTCACGTGTAAGTTGTGAACCCTTAATTATCTTGTTTCTCGTCTGATTCTTTCTCCTCAGTAGTCTCAGCGCCTTTCCCGTTTTTTCGATCTGGGCGATGTCCAAGGGGTAGTCCCGCCCCTCTTGTGTTGGTGCAGGCATAGGCTGACCTCCTCATCCATCCCAATGGCGCCACACTTCTTTAGCTGGTGGATTGCTTGTGAGTTTATTTTCTTCCAGGTCGATAAACCACTCGGCACATGAAGCAAGATACATTGGAAGAAAAGACAGCGAGATAAACTATAACCAAGAGCAAACGCATAAGGAAAAAACCAACGACAATAGCAGATCGTTCCCATGCTTGAGTGCAAGGTCGATCAACTAGCTCGTCGTGAACGATAACACAAAATTTGCATGAAGCCATTAGGCGTTACTATCGATGTACATGATTTTACACTCCCGCACATAACACCGCGTGCTTACCACACTTCTGCACTAGCTTAAGCAAGTGAGGCTCATTGTGGTAGTGCAACATCATAGGAAAAGAGCACAAGATTCAGACATGGTTCCGGGGTATGAGAACTTCTCCACCCGGCCTCGCATGCAAGATGACATGCCTAATTCATCTTGTTCCTTCTTTGATTCCTCTTCCCCACTAGGCTCAGCGCCTCCCTCGTTGTTCCGTTCTGGGCAATGTGCCATCGACAGTCCTGCCCCACTTGCGTTTCCTGGTGCAGGTGCAGTCTGACTTCCTCATTCATCCCGATGGAGCCACACTCTTTCAACTGGTGACTGTCATGTGAGTTCACTTCCTTCATGGTCGATAAACCACCTGTTACATAAGCAAGATAAATTGGAAAAAAAGACAGCGATATAAAGTATAACCAAGTGAAAGCGCATGTGCAAAAAGCCAGCAGCACTAGCGGATCGTGCCGAGGCTCAAGTGCAGCGTCGATCATGTAACTTTTCGTGAATAATAACACAAATTTGTAGAAAACCATTGGGAAGTATTATCACAGTGCATGATTTTATAGTCCCACGCATAACACTGCGTGCTCACTATCCTTGTGCCCTAGCTCAAGCAAGTTAGGCTCATTGCGGTATGGCAACATCATGCGAAAAGAGCACAAGATCGAGACAATGTTCCCGAGTACGAGGACCTCTCCACTCGGCTTCGTATGCAAACTGCCACCCCTAATTCATCTTGCTCCTCCTCTGATTCTTCTTCCCAACTAGACTCAGCGTCTCCCCCCTTATTCCAATCTAGGCGATATGCTAGGGGTAGTCTATCCCCTCTTGCGTTCCCTGGTGCATGCGTAGTTTAACTTCCTCATTCATCCCGATGGCGCCACACTTCTTCACTTGGTGGATCGCTTGTGAGTTTACTTCCTTCATGGTCGATAAACCATGAAGTACATGAAGCAAGAAAAATTGGAAGAAATGACGGCGAGATAAAGTATAACTAAGTGAAAGCGCATGAGCAAAAAACCCATGGCACTAGCGGATCTCTCTCAGGTTCAAGTGCAAGGTCGATCAGCTAGCCGGTCATGAATGATAACACAAACCTCCTTTTGCCCTAGCTTGAGCAAGTTAGGCTTATTGCGGTAGCACAACATTACATGAATAGAGCACAAATTCGAGAAAGTGTTTCGGAGTACGACAACTTCCCCACTCAGGTTCGCATGTAAGCTGTGAACCCTTAATTAAATTGTTTCTCCTATGATTCTTCCTCCCCAGTAGTCTCAGCGGGTTTCCCGTTGTTCTGATTTGGGCGATGTCCAAGGGGTAGTCCCTCCCCTCTAGCGTTCCCTGGTGCAGGCGTAGGTTGACCTCCTCATCCTTCCCAATGGCGTCACACTTCTTCATCTGGTGGATCGCTTGTGACTTTATTTCCTTCGAGGTCGATAAACCACTCGGTACATGAAGCCAGATACATTGGAAGAAAAGACAGCGAGATGAAGTATAACTAAGTGAAAGCGCATAAGCAAAAA